TTTCAAAATCGAGCAGATGAGACTACTGTTTGCTAGCGTGGCTATTCTTGCTCTTGCTTGTCACTATCGTTGCTTGGGAGGTTTGTTTTGGGATGTCTATGCCTGTTGCTTGCGGCTGTGTTGTGGCGGGTCCGATGTGAGCTGAGCCCACTCATCGGGGATGGTAATATCTTCCTGGGTTATTGGGGTCAAAAACCCGGCCTTCATGGCCTCTACAACGGCCTCGTCCCCTGCCCGGCTCTTCCATAGCCTCGGCCTTTGGTCTACCACCGCCACGCCACGTCTTCCTCTGCACCCCGCCTCGACCACGCCAGACACAGATGAAATATTTTCTTGTGGGTCGAGTGGGTTAGCGACATCAAGTTGCTCGGCTAAGTAATTCATAGCCTCCTGGAACTCTCGCGTAGATGCGAGTTGCTTGAATGACGGACTTGGCGGTCTTGAGGTTTGGGTCTGTAATGCCGGACAGAAGCTTGCGAATCTTGCGGCTCCCAGTAAAGGTTTCACCAGGGTTTCCAGATCGGTGAAGGCTTGGTAAGCCTTTCACAGTAGCTGCTCAAAAGTGAAGTTGCGGACTTCCCATCAAAGAAAGTAGTTTAAATGGCTCTATCCGCGAATGCCTTGGTACGAGCCTGGAACGAATCACACCAAGATAGTGAACCTTCATGCCAAGTAAGCTGCTCGACCGTTCTGTTGCGCTGCACAACAGTTGGACCCCTGTCCAACCAGGTCCACCGTGAGTAACCGACCGAATGATGTCCCAAACAGCCTGATTGTCTTGTACGAAATGAGGTCCGGCATGTATTGTTCTTCGGACCAATTATTCAGGATGCGATGGAAGGCAAAACCTGGGTCAGCCTCATCTGCGGTGTCGGTATCAAGTGACTCCTGGCAAAGTGACTTTGGATCTCGTAAATAAGCCAGAGGGGCACCGCAAACGCCTCGCTTGACATTCAGAACTTGTCATAGACTCCAGAACTCGTCGGACATCTTCGACTTCAAGAGTTGGGGAGGATCCGCAACATCGATCTTTCTCGTTCGGACTCGTATAAGCCCAAACTCTATTCAATCTCGCCAAACTGCTTGGTTGGGAGTGAACTCACGCTGGATTCGTGTCATGTGAAACTTGTAGAACGTAGTTGTCTGAGTCGCTTCTCAAAGACAAATCCAGCTGTCGTCCACGGTTGGGAACTTTTCTGGGCTGAACTGCTGCGGCAGCTTCGAGTGGCTGCAGCCGCAATGGCTGTATTGGGAATGGTACCACCTGTTTCCTCACGTTCTCGCAGATGCTCTTGATATCAGCATCGGTAAAGGTATCGAGTGACGAAGGCATCCAATCCTTGATCATTCAATGCTGTCCTTGTGGCTAATTCGGCAATACGATGGTATTCTGTAGATAGTTGTTCATGGCTGCAAGATTGCCTGCCATATTCGCCTCCAATTACTTCTTCTCTTGCGGTATCACTTGGATGAGCAACAGTTGTTGGGTCTTCTTCTCTGCTCCTATTCCAACAGCAAACTGTACACACCCAGACAAGTAAGGCTGTATTCCACGGAATGAGCTCTGCACACCCAGTCTGTGGCAGTCTAGGCCGAAACTCTTGGATCAGGCGTCCCCTCTCCTTGGCTCAGATCGATCTCTTTGGTGACAATGAGGCAGGAATTGATCCAGACTGGAGGGATCAATATTCCAAGTCCAAACCTCTGCTTCCCACTTGGAAGTCTCTATCTCTCGCTCCACTTGAGAGAGCCCCTTCTTCTTGAGAGGTCTTCTGTTGCTATGCCGCTTGGAGGTCTTCTCTTCTTCTCTTGTTCCTCTGCCGATTACGCTGGCAATGAGGATCTCTCGTTCTGTAGCTCCGAAACGGTAGCTTCGAATCGGCGACAATGGCGCTGCTTCGAATGAACGGTAGCGTCTTCTTCGCGTCGTCGTTCGAACGGTAGCTTCGAACGTCGACAATGGCTCTTCTTCTTGATCGCGACAATGGCGCTCGAACGATAGCTTCGAGCGGTAGCTTTTCTTCTTGTGCTTGTCGAACGACCGCAACAAAGGGATACTCGCTTCGACCGACCGAACGAACGAACGAACGGCGCTGCTACCGGTCTTCCTCTTGTTCTTCTATCGATCGCTAGGGTAGCTTCCACGCCTGATAAGCCGAAAAAGGCTGATGGTGGTGTTGATAAAGAGGTTGCTATAGTGTTGTGTTACTACTTGGTTGTTGTGGTTGTGGTTGATTTTAGTAATCTGGTAATCTGGTAACTGGATAGTCATAAATCGCTACCACAGGTCATTTTCGGTTTGCCCGCATCCTCGCGTGATCTTCCAAAAGTAGTCTTTGTAAGATTGGAGACGAAACGTCACGAAACTAGCTATTGCCTGTTCACCGATACAGCCATCACTGGACCCATTTCTGTTGCTGAATGCATTAGCTAGCTATCAATACCGGTACCATACGACCCTACAAGAAGCAGGGACTTCTTACGTCTCGGTCGCCAAGCAGGTTGCCTGGATCCAACTTATTCATGGACTAGGAAGCCCGCACGTGGTTAATTGACATTGGTCGGGGACTTTGCCTGGCTCCTCCTTATTCATGGACTAGGAAGCGGGCACCTGGTTAATTGACATGGGTACTATAGCTACTGGGGTACCTGCCACCATTCACACTTTGGGTTGGCAACACGGAGCAACAATCCGAGCATTGGGTTCATTTGCGTCCTCCTTCCGAATACCTTTGGGCCCAGCCACATTTCTTGCTCGGAACAAGCAGCAGTGAGATAGATGATGCTTCAAGCGAATGCTTCACTGTAGTGAGATCTTGCTTGGTTGCTAGTCTGGCACCGATGAAACCTTTTCGCTGTTCTTCTGTCCCCTCCCTGGGTTACGTTTGCATCGAAAGAGGGACGGAACGATTCTGGCAGGATGACTTTTTCGTAACCCCACGTTGATTGAATGATTCAATGAATCGAATCAGGTTGCTTGGATGACGGTCTGGTAAATTTTGGTTGAATGGGTGGGCGGAAGCGGTGCTTCCTGCTGCCCCCTCTCTTCGGAATGCAACTTTTTTTCCTGTTGCAACTCTGGCTGGCTATCTAGCTAGATAGACGCGCAACTAACTAATGGTCTTTCGGAACCATGAGAAATAGCCGCAAAAGAACCTAACGCCATTTGATTTTCAATGATGGTGCTCCGCAAGCGCAAGGAGGCAGTGATGACAGTCTACTCAGTCGTAAGCTTCGAGGTGACAGAAGGTCCGAGGAACTTGGAGAATTGACTTCTCTCGATGGAAACAGAACATTTCTACTACGGTAGCTAAAGAAGATCAGGCCAACTTGAAAGAGGGTGCCCATGTAGCAAACTCCTACACGACGAGCATGAATGTCCATGGGATGCTTCAGAATGTGAAGATCCCTCGGTACTTACTCGTCATCCTCCCCATTTCACGCAATATCCTTCCGGAAAGTAGCGACGTGACGACATTGCAATCACTTGCTGAATATTCTATTGTTATTATTCTTACCACCACCGCTCAAAATGTATATTGGTGTCTGCAATCCCTCGTTTTCGCAGTAGATCAACCCCTTCATCGAGCATGGCCGGTGGACCACACAAGTAGAACGCTGAGGTATCGTCTGCCTCTGTCAGAAACTCCTTCATAAAACGACCGGTTCGGCATTGCACTCCTTTGGATTCCAAATCCTGTTTGGAAGAATCCTTCCATGCGGTTTGTTGGGTCAATGAAAAGCAGAGGGAATGCCGATTCTTGTGGCTGCTGTTAGTGTTATGCGCCAACAACAACGTTTGCACCAACTCGTCACCAAACACTAGTTCTTCTTCGGTCGAAACCGAGTAGAGAAACGAGGATGGCGGAGGATTCTGGTTGTTCGATTTCTGTAGTAGTTGCGTCCACTGTCGATACATGCTGAGTACGGGAGAAATGCCAATGCCACCGGCACAAAAGACGACCGGTTGAGTCTCAATCTTCTGTCGAGTTGTAGTATCCAGCACACACGTTCCTCCCACTTGCACGTGCACGGTCCTTCCAATCTCGGTACTTTCTTGGGAATGCACCCACCGGGAGGGTGGATGATTGGATTCTTTAATGGCCAAGGTGATTTTGGGGAGCTCTTCTGGTTGACTGGCGGTTGAAAATCCCCCCACCCACTCGTACGGTGGCACTACAAAATCCAGCCATTGACCCGGTTGAAATTGGAGGGACGACGGCACTTCCAAGTCCAAAACCACCACGGTTGGGGAAGCTACACGGCGTGCCAGTATCTTGCCGACGTGATAGCCTGAAGCCGGTAGTGTTGTCATGGAGATTTGTTGTGGATTAGCAGATTGTGAGCTGTGTGAGTTGTTCCGTTGCGGATAACCTTTAACCCTTTCTACAAAATGGCACCCCAGCCAGCAGTACTGGAGGTGCGCAAAGCAACGGCCAAAGTTGTCGTTACCAAAATATCCCGAAAGCGTCTCAAAATTCCCGAAAAGACTTGGTTGTCTGCCCGCAGCATGCCCAGCAAAAAGTGCACAGCAAACAGCTCACATTGGAAAGACCATGAGATTGGTGAGACGAAAACGGAAACGACCCCAACTTCAAGGGCGAAGCAATAGAAACTTCTTGTGGATTTGCTGTGTGGTGGTGGCCATTGGTGTGACCCTGTCGTTGGTATCGTTCATTCCGGTGTCATCTAGATTCAATCCCTCTGACATATGGAAGAAGACTGGCATCGAACTAGCAACAAGTGCCAAGATGGTCTTTCACAGCACTGGAATGGAAGCCAATTGGGGTCTCACAACGGCTGCGCAGGATTGGAGGAACTACGATGCCAACCGCACCATTGCCTTTATCCACATTGGGAAAGCTGGAGGCTTGACGGTTCGGAGTTCCACCGGTCTGGTCTGCCGGCCAATGGGTGTTGGAAAAAAGAAAGAAATTGATGGTCAAATTGTGAAAGTCGTCTTCAACCAAAGCGAGGAGCAAGTTGAAACTTGTGTCAACAAACGATTCTATAGCAATTTGACACTGCCACGGCAAGTGAAATACTACTTTCACATGCATGGACATCGGCCCGAAGAACTGGCCAAATCCACCAGCTTTCTGGTGGTTCTACGACACCCCGTCGATCGACTCATTTCGAGTTATCGATATAGCCATCCAGCCAATTGCCGCGGAAAATTGCGGAAAGGTCCCTTCAAGCCCTATGGGTGCCATATCGAAGAAAGCTCCCAAACACGAGGAACGGCCGATTATCAAGTCCACAGACGATGCTGGCCGTCGCCTGGAATGGAAGATTTTGCGCAGGCGGTGCTGTCTCCTTATGCCGAATTCAACACGAGCCATCTTGCTAATGAAACACTACAATATCAAAAGGAATCTCCCAAATTGTGTCGACGAATGGCACATCGCATGGCACGGGGTTTAGGACCCATTCATCCCAATCCACACATGTTGTACAATTACGAGTACTACATGAATCGCACCGTCCTCAAATACCCGGACAAGGAAGTGTTTGGAATTCGCACGGAACATGAGTGGAAGGATCTTGGGGATTTGGACGTGGCCCTTGGTGGCGCGGGTGTCTTCAAAAGGGAAGGCAGTGCCATTTCCCATGGCAGCAAATCCTATTTTCCGTCACCGGTGTCCACAGCAGCATACCAAAAGATGTGCTGTGTACTGGAAAGGGAAATTTTTTATTATCTGAAGCTCTTGTTCAAGGTCAAAAACTTGGATGACGATGTCAAACAAAAAGGATTGGAGAAAGTCCGGACTTCTTGTGGTATTGGCTCGCAATCTCTGGACGAATGGAGAACACAGTGTCAAGCCAGAATAGAACAAGATCGACCCCTCTGGGAAGTCAAGACGCCGCCCAAGCAAAATAGGACCGCAATGCAACAAAATCGAAGGAACAGAACAGTACCAGAACTAATTCACACTGACATGTTTCGGCCGCGGGACAGGACAGCACCAGAACTGCGGTTGCGCACCCAGCTGCAGGGGAAACGACTGCCCCAGAACGCAACACGGCCTCGGCGCAAAAGGCGGCCACAGGGACCAGACGATGGTCCTACATTATACATATTCAACGAAACGGCAGATCCTGAGGGCTACAAAGCCAGGCTTCGGCAGCATATGAAGACATCTGGAGTCCAAGCCTACTTTACCGGGGATGCTCCAACACGTGAGGCAAAAAAAGCTCAATTGTTGGACAGGTTGCACAAGATGGGAGTGCACCCCGACAACCTTGACGGTCTAAAAGCAGCGTCGAAACGTGACCAAACTTGATTGTGAACTCTCGTTGTCGCTGTGTACGCTACTTGCCTCCAGGTTGTGTTCTAGCTAGGGATTTGGGAGTTGGTGACCTGTTTCAGTAAATTTACTTTTAAAATCGAGTCACTCTTTGCTACTACAGTAGCTAGCAAGATTCGTATGAACACTACCGTAGCTGGGAACTGACAGGAGGGCTCAATCTGAATGATCGAATCAATCCAGTCGGCCGATAGAAAAATGCACTCTCGTGTGGGCGAAATGTCGTGTAGCCTCCTGTTGCCTTTCAATGACTCAACGACAGGCTCAGGATATGCCTGGAGTTATGCAGCCTTGCTCCGTAGCAGTTGATAAAAAGAGGGAGCGATCAATCAATCAATCGACTGAAGAGGGCTCAACAATGGCGTCTCCTCGTTACCTGGTACTCAGCAGGAAGCAGAGGAGAGAAAGTAAAAAATCTATATGCTTTTCTCATCTCTTCTGATACTTCTGACAACCGGTGACTTACCCATGTTCTCCAACTTGGTTGACTGTAATGAGTCAAGACATGTCTGCCATCCCATGGTCCATAGAATCCAATGAGGGACGGCTTTAACTCTGAAGCTCTGCGCTGGGGATTGTCGGCTTTTAGAACTGATAGTAAAAGCGAGTGATCGTGGTCGAGAGAAAGGCATCCTGCATGGTCAATGATGAGCCATGTGGATCATCCGACAACAGCTGCCGATGTCAATTCTCACATCAGCGCCAACTAGGCACATTTACAGCAGCACAAAGTCATAGGTGAGTATTTAAATACACACTAACCTATGAACATTGTCCTTTAGATGATGTATTATATATATGACTATGGGTTGATTACTGAATCATGAAGTTGGTGATTTCTGCATCATGGGTAGCATCAGGAGTTTGGTCATTGTAGACAATGAAGATGTCTTCTGGGAAGCCATAGACTTTGTTGTACCGAACTTCAATGAACTTGGCTTGTTGGCTGTAGGCATTGCGGATCCTCTGAAAGAGCTCTTCCACGGTTTGTGGGTGTGGCTCATAAAAGATTTGGTTGTGGTTTCCATCCTTTCCAGAAGCCTGGTTACCGTTTCGGACTGTGACATCCCAGGGAAAGACGATGTTGTGGGGGTTTGAGCCATGGTTATTGTACACGTAGGCATAGTTGTAGATGTGTTTGGACTTCCACTGAGCTTCTGCTTGAGCAATCTGTTGCACTGGTGTTGGGTTGCGGTTTGTAAGGGGGCTCACTTGATGGATAGGAACAACATTGGTAAGATCAACGTCATAAACAACTCCATTGGCCAAGACAACATAGATAGTCTGTGGGTATCCAAGTTGAGGGTTGTATTGGACATCAATCTGCTTTGCTGTGTTTGCATTGATATGGCCTTGGATGACTTCAAAAAACTTGCCAATGGGAGAGTGGGTGGTCCATAGAATTTGGTTGTGGTTGCCATCCTTGGCTGTGGGTGGGTTTGGTGGCTGCACTGTGATGGTCCATGGATAGACAGTGTTCAAAGGATCAGGCCCCATCTTCTCATAGTCATAGTGATAGCTTGTCATTTGCTTGGATTTCCATAGAGCTTGGTTTCTGTTCAGATCTTGTTGCTGTGCCTGGAAATGGTTTTGTGCTGTCACTCCACCGAGAAGGAATGCCAAAAGGCTGAAAATTGCTGCTTTGTTGGATGAAATCATGATCGTGTGTTGTTGTTGTTGTTGTTGTTGTTGTTGTTGTTGTTAGCTTGCTTCCTTGTTGGAGACGTCCTTGTGTGAGTTGTTTGGTTTTGTGAGCTTCCACCAAGGCACAGCTTTGCCCCGGGGAAATTTGAGCAAGCATGATTGCACTGCCTTTCGTGCTGGATCTCCGACATCCAGTCATGGTTGACCCGATCCTTCGATCCTTCGGGATCCATGATAAGGCTGTGACTAAGTCATAATAACGTGATAACGAAGGATACGGTTGAATCTTCCTGGGCAACAGTCAACACTCTTGCATGTTTGCTTCAATGATAACACATGTAGCGGCATGGCACACCTTGCATCTCTACCCTCAGGCCGCCCTCCATGGCATACGGTATGCGTTATAGGAGTGTGCTTGATGGCATCGGTTGTCGGCCTTCCGTCGCTGGAATCGATCGATCATGAGCTGGCCAATGCCGAGGTCCTATCCAATACTTCCGGTATCTTTTCTCCAAGTGTTATAGGATGGATTCGAATATCATTTGGTACCGTGATGATAGGGAGCTCTCTTTATAATTTGTTTTGGGGTTCATGGGAGCAAGATACAGGGTACTATCCCAACAGTAAACTTCAACCCCAATTCAAGCTACCCTTTCGGGGCATGTTAGTGGAACGTCCCTACAGCCTGTCACGGGGACTCATGACGCTGTCCAGTTTCACCTTGTGGGCATGGGCACTGGAAGGTATCGCCTTTTGGTTGCTTGGATACATTGCTCTCACCGCGGACACTACGAGCGACATGGACCACGTTGCTGCCAAACAATGGATGTACCGAATTGCCGCCGTTCTATGGGAAATTGCTGCACCCACCAGTTTGCTAGTCTCTTCTATTGTCAAGCATGTGCTTTGGCCACATGCACTTCAGGGCAATGGTGCAACAAAGTCTTCAATTTTTAAGCATCCTAATGCATTGCTGGAGCATAATTTGAACAGCTTGGCAGCACTCATTGAAGTTGGGTTTTTGGGAGGCTTGCCGGTGAGAAGGAGAGATGCCTCCTTCGCCGTTCTCTTTGGTTTGACCTACGTCGCCTACACCTATGGCATGGTACATTCCTGGCCTCAGGGAGTGACAGACAAGAAGAAGGACAACACAAACGGCAACGATGATGATGACATAAAGAGCAAACTAGACTCTACCCGGCAACCGATACAGCAAAGCCCAGGACCACAATTCATCTATCCCTTCTTTGATACGACACTGCCCGGCTTTTTGACAACCTATTTTTTATTGGGATTGCTGGCAGTGCTCTTGATGAGCCATCTCTTGTTTTCTTTGGCCAACGTTCTGGTCAAGCGGTCTCCTATGCTTTCCGTGCCGCTCATTGCAGCCGCAGTTTGCCGGTTCCGCGATTGATCTTTGTTGAAATCAGTTAGTATCAGGAAGGTGCAACTACAACGTCGACGGAATACGCATGACCTAAGCTTCAATCTCAGAGAGACGAATGTACGGCGTCTACCCAATGACGTTTTCTTGCAATAGCGAGTGAGCGAAAGTTAGTTGTAAGCAATGTTAATGTATGTTGGCTAGCGCGTGGCCTAAGTTGTTGTGGTTGCTGATCTCCTTCTGACGGAAACCACCCTATTCATGCATGTATGTATTGTTCCTGTTGTACGGTAGCTAAACTGATGTTTGATTCGACGAACTGATTCCTTTGCCGCTGCATTCCCTCCGCAGCACAGTGGCAAGCAACAGGAAGTCACTCTTAGGTACGTGTAGTTAGTCCAGCATGTAATACTGAATAACATGCGGTTTGGCGCGGAGCAAGTGATAGACACTGCTGGCATTGGACTTGTCCGGTCCGGCCATGGCAGCTGTGATGAATGGATGTTGCTTGTTTTTGAGATCCCGCGTATCAACGGCTCGTGGTTCCGCCTTGACCAAGCATTCAAAGAGTTGTTCGTCGTAAACCCCCGCTTCGGCCAACGTATCAATGGCCAAGCGCCCCTCGTGATCTGTCATGCGAGCGGCATTCTTGTTGCATTTGAGCAATTCACAAATGACCTTGCACATGTCGCCGCCATGCTGAGGCTGCTGCTGCAACATGGCCACGGCAATCAAGAGCGGAGTACGTCCCTGCGCATCGCGTTCGACGGCTTGATCGGGGAAGCGACGGAGGGCTTCCGCCATAATGGCAGCGGGACAACGAAGCGATACCAAAGCGTGGACCATCTGGAACGTTTTGCCGGGAGAGGTAATCACCACGGACTGAACCAGAACGGTCAAGACCTGCCAGAGAGTATCGATCTGGAAGGCATCATCCTCTTCTCGATTTTTCTTAGTCAGGAGAGTCACGAGCCCATCGTACATCATGTCGAGAGGCCGCAGACCCTCGTTGTCCGTCGCCAAGACGGGGTTGCTGGTTTTGGTTGGTGTCGCCAATAACTTGGCAACTTTGGGATTGGGCAGAGCCAAGCGAAGGGGCGCCTCTTCTTCTTCTTCATTGTTGTTGTTGTTGTTCTCCTCGGTCTCTTTTTCCAAGGAAAGAGAGCATAGATAATGAAGAGGAAGCCGACCACGTTCTTTATCCACCTGATGAACTCCCTGAGGAAAGGCATCCAGGAGCAATCGAGCACTAACCGGATCGGTTCTGGCAAAGTGAAGAGGAATCGCTCCCGTGCTGTCTGAATGACGTGCAGCACTTGGGTTGGCTTCCAGCAACAACTGAATGATTTGGCGAGCATCCTTTTGAATACGCTCGGCAGGGTCTTCTTCCTCCTCATTGTCGTCGTTATCGGTAGACCATGCCACGGCAGTGCGCCTCACGGCTTGCAGTAAAGGAGTCTGGCCATTGCGATCCGAATGGTACACCGTATCGTCGTAGGCATCCAAAAAGGCCTGAATGACGGCAGGAGGAATCTCTGCTTCGACGCAAGAGAGACAACGAAGCAATGGGCTGGGGTCGACCGAATGGCAATAGGCAGCAGCTTCTTCGGGATGCGTCCGAAGGCGGCGAAGAATTCGCTCCCAGTTCATGCGATTGTTACCCTCGTTTTGAGGATCCACATCCAACAGCTCCAAAAGGGACGGTGCTCCCTCTTCTTCTGCCTCGCCGATCAATAGAGACACCAAAGATCCCATGGTTGGTTATCGGATGTTTATATCAAGCTGTCCTGGCTGGATAGAAGCTGTAGAGGTTGCAGCTAGCTAGAGTAGATAGTAGACTAAAGAACAAAAATTGTGATGGGTGAGGATGTTTCAATGGTGGATCTTCTACAGTTCCGCGAACTGCACCTCGGAGTTGGCCAGGGTGGCCACCTATACACTCCACGCAGAACAAAGGTTGTTAACAATGAGGAAGGGGCACCTGGCCCACCCTTTTTATTGGTCGGTGTCAGAATTTCCTTGTTCGTAGAGGGTAACAAGCGGTTTGGAATTCTTTTTCAGATATTCTTATATTACATCTCTGTTACGGAGGGTATCTTTGTGACTCTTTTCGTGGACGGGACGGCTACCGGTACCCTATTGATGGACCACGGTGCGAGTAGTGAGGAAAGGAGAAAACGTTGTAGGCTCCTCTTCAGATTATTACGAAAGTCATCTGCTTTTGCGTCGAGGATTGAAATTTGGGCTTCGCAGCATTGGGATACAGTACTGGCAGCAGCGATATCTTTAGAGTTGAGTGTTTGTGGATTACTATTGCACTGCCACTCGGATACTTCTAATCCTCAACTACAGCTGTAACTGGTCTACCAGGTACGGTACTGACTTTAGAAATAAGCTTCTTTTAGTGAAGCCCCTCGGTGAACAATGCTAGCTAGTAGTCTACCTGTATCATACAAGTAGACTATGCATAGTCTATGGTATGCTATTGGTCGCCACTTTGTCTCACCGATTTGGACTCCGACCTTCGGGTAATTTTCCGTATGTAGCATATTACCCACCTGCATTGGCTTACAGCGAAACTTCGACCTCTGGTTCGGCAGAACACAAAACCTCAAGTACGTACGTCAGCATTAGGAATGATGAATCTCAATCGAATCTTTCGCACTAACAGCCATTTATAGAGGGTTAGAGATAAAAGTGGATCTTTTGCTAAATCAAGATCTTTCCTCACATCCCGAGTGACTAGCTAGGATCGAAGCATGAATGAATTTAACTGACGAGAACGTCGTAACTGTAGAAAACTGTTCTCAGACATGGTCCTCGTCGCGAATCGAATCAATCGTGTGCCTGTTCACAACTCACAACCCAACAATTGACCCAACCATCGAATCTCCAACCCCACTGTGATGGCTGCAAGAAAAAGTTTGGTCTCCACCATGCCTTTTCCTGCTCCCACGGTGGACTTCTTCTTCAGCGCCACAATCAAATTGTGCACGAGCTGGCTGATTTATCTTCCATGGCTTTCATGCCCTCTGCTGTCCGGGACGAACCCCGTATCACTCTTGGTCGCCCAGCTATGGCTCCGATTGACTCTGCTGATTCTTCCCATGCTCCTACTCCCTCTGATCCCGTTGTCCAAGATCGGGGTGACCTCCTAGTTCGCGGGTTCTGGCATCGAGGTACCGATTGTATTTTCGATGTCTCCCTCGTGGATGTTGAGTCTCCTGGTCGTCGTGACCGTTGTGGCACTGCTGAGAAGGCCCTTTCTCAGCGGGAGAGGCAGAAGAAGATGAAGTACCAGGCTCAGTGCACTGAACAACGCTGCCACTTCACCCCCTTTGTTGTTTCTGCTGATGGCCTCTTTGCTGCCGAAGCTACTGCTGTTCTCCAACGGCTCTCCCAGCTTTTGGCTCACAAGTGGTCCAAGCCCTACTCTGTGGTTCGCTCTTTCATCTCGGCCAGGTTGAGCATAGCGCTTGCCCGTGCCACGACAAAAGAGATAATGCAACAAACTGCAACGCACAAGGTCCCTGGCGTCATGGCCTACGAAAAGAGAACTGCTCACCTTAATAAAGAGTTTTGGGCTATAGTAGAAGGACCGTAGCAAGAAATCGTTCACAGCTTATAAATGCTCTCAAAACATAGAGCGCATAAGTCTTCGGCTTACATATTCGAATGGTACGGAGTCAAAAAGTTTAATATGAAATTAGAGAAGAGTAAAGAGAAGAGGCACAACGCAGGAAACAAAGGAAGCAATCAAGTCGCAACAGCTGCAACATGGAAACCACCCAGGAAAGGGTGAAGGCAGATGCAGGGTAGGAGCAAGGACAAGACTAGCGAAGAGATCGCAGGAGGGCAAAAGTCATAAACGTTGAAACTTGAACTGAAACCTCCAAAACACGGGCA